TAATAATGTCAAACATGGCACCATGTAATGTCACATATGATAATATATAATACTATAGATGTTCATATATAATTCCACATGTGCTCATATATAATGTCACAAATCCTCACAATGTACCACAATGACATAATGCCAAACCAAATCCAATGACACAGTCTTCATAGCAGTCTTCTACAGCTCACTAAAAGCATGCAGCGAATCTTCATCGATGTTTCTCTTTACCTTTTTTGTTATAGCAAAAAAACTAATCTTCAACATCATTTCGAATCTTGATTTATCACTGCCCACATCCATCCGCTTTATATCACTCAAATTCATAACAAAATGGCATATCTTACTAAAATAAATAAAAATCAAATCAACCAAATTCTAACTATTTTAGCAAACAATAAAGTGCACGTGCAAAATAAACAGAGCTTTTAACGGAGTACCGTCAATATTTCCTTCTCTTTTCTATCGTCTCATGAAATGTTTTTGTACTCTGTTTACTTTCAGATCTCATGTCTGTGTAATGGAGTTTCCACGTATATATTTATGATGTAATTAATTAGTCATTTGTAATAATACCTACGGAGTATTTAATTTCAATTATAATAAAAGTAATACTCCCTCCGTTCATAACTAAGTTACATTTTTATAATTTTTAAAATGATTACTCCTATTTAGAGGAGTATAAGTTTGAACTCCTATTTTGAGGATATGATCCATGTTTTACTTCTATTTAGAAGGTTTTCTTAATGGAATATAAAGATTATATTATTTTAATGTACAAAACATCGTTTTTTTATAAACTTCGAAAGACTTCTTTATATATTACATTATTCGTATAATTTGTGGGAACATTATCTTCGTTGCATATCAAAATATTCAATTCACTACGATTAGTTACTCTTGAGACTGCAACATACAGTTGTACATGACTAAACATTGGTTTCTGTAACAATATATAATTCAACATGTTTTAGAGATTGTCCCTAACTCTTGTTAATTGTCATTACGTGAGAAGTAACCACAAGGATTTGTCTTCTTTGAAACTTAAATGGAATTCATGTATCGGATGGTGTTAATGATAGTCTTGGAATAACAACTTCTTCACCCATGTGGCTTCTTGATAATATCTTTTCTTGTATTGAGTGATTAGCTAGCCAGATTACTATCAACTGTGTACCATTGCATAAACTCATTGAATGGTCAATATTTCACAACAACATAATAGGTATGCCTACCTTCAAAGCTAACTCACGATTCGGTACACCAGAAGCACGAATCTTATTTAGGAATTCTGAAGAGTGTAAGTCACCAAAAAAACTTGAATTGCAGTCTGAGTTCTCAACCTTGTCAAAACTAAGGTATATTCGAGATTCGCTGCTTGGATTCATCAAATGTAGGAGCCAAAATTGCACGCTCCTGCAAGTAGTTTAGTTCATTGGCTATTTTTTAAAAGTCTGGATAAGTCGAATTGACTATAGTATCTATTGGATCTTCAAAAGATGGAAGTAACATGTCATCAGGAATTGTTACCTCTACATAGTCGTCTTGTTGAATTCAAATAAGCGATCATAATTACCATCTCGAATCATTGATTGCAGTCGCATGTTTTTTGTCAAACACAACACTGTGCAGTCTTCCCAAATGTATGAGGAATTAATTGTTGAGTTAACAATATCATGCCTTGTTTCTCTTGGAATAAGTGGTAAATTTTGACGAAAATCTCCACCAAAGACGATTGTTTTTCCTCCAAAAGTTCGTTGTTCACTCATTGGGTTAGAGAAACGTAGAATATCACGGATACTTCTATCCAAAGCTTCAAAGCAATATTTGTGTGTTATAGGGGCTTCATCCCAAATAATTAATTTGGCCTTCACCAAGAATTGTGCTAGTAGACTGTCTTGCTTTCTGATGGAATTTGAGTTTTTTATCTAGAATCAATGGAATTCTAAAACGTGAGTGAGCTGTTCTACCACCTGGCAATAGTAACGATGTTATTCCACTTGACGCAACATTTAATACTATATCACCTCAAGATCGTATTGCAGCTGATAATGTTCTGCAAACATACGTATTGTCGGTTCCTCCATATCCGTACAGAAAGAAAAGTTTGCCTGCATTTGTATGAACGGACTACATTATAGCTTCATATGCTGCACGTTGTAAATCGTTCAATGAACCTAAAAGTCTAGTGTTCTAACTTGCCAATGCTATTTGATCGTATTGCGTTTCATCAAAAATCAATCGATTAGCTGAAGTCCAAATTTTATGGAGGTTTGCTTGAGGCATATCGGTGTGATTATATCTCATTATAAACTTGATAATAATATGAATGAACAAATGTTTAATATGATGAACTAAATAACAATATGATTAAACGAATGATAAACTGTGTGATGTTAAATAACTAGAATGGCATTCCCTTGCATGATACTACATGATTTGGTTATGATTTGTAACTCTATCTATGTGCATGTTCGACCTACTTGATATTCTCACTTAGCTTCATCATTGAGCGTATAATATATTGTATTTGCTACACACAAGTAATATTGATGTTAGAGATAAAATGTACCCCGAAGTGCAGCAAGATGACGAAGTCCGAGTTTTGAATTAAATAGTATAGTATTAAATAGTATACTAGATGATCCGAGTTTGACATTGAAATGTCCGAGTTTTGAATTAAATAGTATAGTATTAATGTGAAAAATAAGTGACAAACCGACTAGATGATCCATTGGTTCATGTACACGAGTTGAAGTTCTACAATATATTATTTCTGATCAATACAGGGCCGGCCCAATAAGGGGACAAGGTGTCCGTTCGGGCTGGGCCCAACTATTTTAGGGGCACAAATTTTTTTTAAGTGTGTGTGTGTGTGTGTGTGTGTGTGTGTGTGTATATATATATATATTCTTTTTTTTCTTTTTTTTTAATTTTTTCTTTTTTTATAATGAACGGTCAGTTACAAGCAGGGGGCCCGAGGCCCGTTAACCTCGTGACTACCCCGGGGCCCGTTAACACCCGAGGTAGGTAGCCCACTATAGAAAGCCCAAAGTAAGTCCAATCTAAAGCCCAGCCCCATAAGCCCAAATCTACTTCCCAGGGGGTCACCCATCATTTTTGTTACTCCCATGCCAGCACGCTTAACTCTTTAAAATTTCTCCAAATTTGCATCTTCTAGGGATCAAACCCGGGTGATGTGGTTCGCCAATCAACCTTGTGACCATCTCTACAGGGGGGAACCACACACACACACACACACACACATATATATGTGTGTGTGTGTGTGTGTATAAGTCCAGGCCCAGTCTACCATAACTCATCCCTTAACTTAGCCCAGTCCATGTGTATTCTGTAGACCAAAAAAAAGAAACGGAAGAGAAGCTATAGTGCTAGACAGTGCCGATCGAACTCATCGAAGAACCCAGAATTCCAGAAACATCAAGTCGTCGACCTCAACCTGCACGCCTGTCGCCTCCACCGACGGACGTCGAGTCGCCAACATGCTCGCCTCCACCCTCTAAGTAATTATTCATAGCCTTCCCTTTCTAATTTTGTAATTTTTATTTCTTAAATCTTAATTTTCTTTCATTGTTTCATTTTTTAGATTTAAAATCTAGGGTTAGTTATCAGTTTTTAATTTGAAATCTTTTTTAACTTCATTCTTTGAAATATAATGAATGAAAAGTTCTATATGTTATTTATTTGATTTGGATGAATTGGTTTGAATTTGTTATTTATGATAATTATATATTTATATTAAAAAAACTGAAAACCGAAAAAAATTAAAAACTGATAAATTGATGGATTGATATGAATTTTTAATTTATAAAAAAATTACAACTAAAAAAGAAAAAAACAATTAAAAAAGAAAAATTGACAAATTGATTTTAATTTATGATATATTTATTTATTTATTTGCTTGCTTGCTTTTTTCAATTTTTTATTCTTGATTTTACTTAGTAGAATTTATGATTTTGGATTTTATTTCAGAAATAATTCAATATTTATGACTCCTAAACAATTATCCGGTAGTCGAAAAAGAAAAAAGAGAAAACGAGATGAAGAAATGAGAAAATCTTAAGCCGGAGCTCTATATAAGTTTATGAAACCTGTTGCAGAAGACGAAGAAGTAGAAGTAAAAGAGATGGAAGAGCAAGAGCATCTACAAATAGAGCAAGAACATGTTGAGCCTATGGTTAGTGTTGTGCATACTGTTGTCGATATATTTGATCCAAGAAGATGGGAAGGACTTAATTCTGAAGAGATTAAACTTTTGGTGGAGATACGCCCAAAAAGAGATCATAGTATTCACTATGGTCCATACGATAAAGATGGACAAAATGGTAGACGCTTTTCTGCAGCAGTATATACAAAAACTTTACCAAATATGGAGAAGTGTGATAGAGAATGGCTTGTATATTCGAAAGAAGTAGACAAGATATTTTTGTTTCTGCTGTAAACTGTTTAGAACAGGAATCCCGAAAGGAAAATAGGATTGTGAAGGTTATGCAAATTGGCACCATGCTCATAGAAGAGTCAAAGAACACAAACTTTCAATGGATCATCTCTCAAATGTGAATAGATGGCTTGATATGCGTAAAAGATTGAAGCTGAATGAAATAATTGATAAGGTTCATCACGAGCAATTCAAGAAAGAAAGAGATTATTGGAAACAAGTCATTTTCAGAATCATAACATTAATGAAGTTTTTGACTAAACATAATTTAGCATTCCGTGGCTCAAAAGAAAGATTGTATCAAAAAGGTAATGAGTTCAAAATGTTTTACTTTTAAATGTTCCAATTTCATAAAGTGTCATGTTTCTTAATTGTGTTTACTTTTTAACAGGTAATGGAAATTTATTGGGTCTCATTAAGATGTTACAAGAGTTTGATCCAGTTATTCGAGAGCATGTGCGACGAATCACAAATGATGAGCTTCTTGTGCATTATCTTGGGCACAAGATCCAGAATGAACTTATACTTGATTTAGCCCAATAGATTAAGAAGAAAATCATCAAGAAGATAAAGGAAGCCAAGTACTACTCAATAATACTTGATTGTACCCCTGATACAAGTCACCAAGAGCAGATGAGTATGATAGTGAGGTATTTAAACTTCTCAGGTAATTCTATTGCTGTGGAAGAGTCCTTTTTAAGCTTCTTGAATGTTAATGATACCACAGAAAAGGACTATTTGATGTCACAATTGAGGAGTTAAAGTATCTTGGTCTTGAAATTGATGATATTCGTGGTCAAGGTTATGATAATGGGGCAAATATGAAAGGAAAACACCAAGGAGTTCAAAAAAGATTTTTGGATGTCAATCCTAGAGCATTTTACACTCCTTTTGGTTGTCATTCTCTCAATATTACATTATGTGATATGGCTCAAAGTTGTGTTAAATGGAAGAATTTTTTTGGAGCCATCCAAAAAATTTATACTATCTTTGCACATTCAATTAATCGGTGGCAAATTTTGAAAGATAATGTTAAAGGTTGGAGTCTTAAGCCCTTATCTCAAACTCATTGGGAAAGTCATGTTGAAAGAAATAAGGCAATTAGAATGCAACTTGCCGATGTACAACAAGTTTTACTTGAAGTTGAAGAAAAAGATAGTAATAATACAATTGTTATACAACAAAGTCACTAGCAGAAAATCTTACTAAATTTGAGTTTTTGGTATTAATTGTTATTTGGTATCAAATATTAAAGAGATAAATGGATTGATTGACTACTTCAAGGGTTATAGAGAAACTGGTTATTCAAAAGCAATTGATGAAGCAAAGGAGATAGCTGCTGAAATGGACATACCTCTGATATTTCCAGAAAAGCGTCTGATTCGAATGAAAAAAAGAGTCGATGAGAGTTCAAGTAGCGAAGAAGTTTCATTTACAAATGAAGAGAATTTCAGGGCCAATTTCTTCTCTTATGTTGTGGATAAAGCCATATCTTCTTTTGAAATTAGATTTGAACAATTCAAAGACTATGAGAGATTATTTGGGTTTTTGTTTCCACATCAGTTGAGTGGAATTGAAGAAAAAGAGCTTAAGTTGTTTTGCCATCAACTTGAAAATGCACTCAAGTTTGAAGAAAGATTGGATATTGATGCTGAAGAGCTTTACATGGAGTTGAAATCCTTCAACACATTACAAACCAGTGAATTTAGTAATCTCATAGATGTTTTGAAACATTTAAAAGAACTTGGTTGTTACAAGAATGCCTACATTGCATATAAAATTTTGTTGACTGTTCTAGTAACGGTGGCATCTGCAGAGAGAAGTTTTTCCAAATTGAAGTTCTTGAAATCTTACTTACGTTCTACAATTTCCTAAGAAAGACTGAGTGGATTGGCGGTAATAGCTATCGAAAATGAAATCTTAGAGAGCATAGACTATAAAGATGTGATGAACCAATTTGTTCTCAAGAATGCAAGGAGAACTACTTCTCGAATCCTCGGCTAGTTTTTACGGTATGTAATTATAATACTATAATTTTGTGATTTATTTTTTCTTCTAATAATATTACATCAATTATAATTTAAATATAATTAGTTTACATATGTGAATTTTTTAGACCATTAAGGATAAGACTTTTAGGGCCTTTTTTCTGTTTTGGCCTAGGCTGATGAATCCTCAGGACCGACCATGGATCAATATATCACTACATAGAATCATAGAACAGGGTATCAATTCACGGAGCCTCTTCAGCTGCTTGATCTTTCATCCACCTTCTTCTGTGTTTTTTAGAAACATAAACACGATTAAAATGCATGGTACAAGATAAATTGCATTTTGGTATAATTTAACAATAATGTCACACCTTACATGTTGCTATCACAACAAATTAAAATTGCGACTAAGTTTAAGGGCTGTTTTATTAAAAATAAATTTGTAAGGAGAACTTAACAAAAAAAACTTCCTCCTTCCCATATCTTTCTTCCCATTTTGATTTATACGTTCATTTTTTTAACTCTGACCACAGATTATGATAAAAATATATTAAATTGTGATTGAAATGAATTTAATATCAATAGATTTAATTTAACTTTTAGTTTTGAAATATCATATTTTTTGAGTCTATAAATATTTACAAATAAAGATATTAATTATCAAAGTGGTGCAATGGAGATCGTAAAAAATTAAATGAGAAGAAAGATATGAGACAGAAGGAGTATTTAACTTAATAATAATAAGGAGTAATATTTTACAATAACTAAAAACAAAAGTCATTTATTTTAGAGATCAAAATGTTGGAAATTTTAAAGTAAATTGGACATTTTTCGGACATAAATTCGGTTGGGTCCACAAAATTATTTTCCAAAATAATTATGAACGATTAATCTCGTAAGTAAGACGAACGTCTTGACATATGACACGTCATAAACGGTGCTCGGGTGAATGAGAAATTAATTCTCAAAGTTGAATACTAAGGTAGAGTAAATGCCTTTGTCCCACACCGGTTTCTAAACCTTTCGTATTCTCATATTTAAGCTTAGGCATTGAATTGAGCTTATGAAAGGAACAAGAAGAGGACTCCTCGCGCGCCCGCCGCCGCCGCCGTCNGAACGATTAATCTCGTAAGTAAGACGAACGTCTTGACATATGACACGTCATAAACGGTGCTCGGGTGAATGAGAAATTAATTCTCAAAGTTGAATACTAAGGTAGAGTAAATGCCTTTGTCCCACACCGGTTTCTAAACCTTTCGTATTCTCATATTTAAGCTTAGGCATTGAATTGAGCTTATGAAAGGAACAAGAAGAGGACTCCTCGCGCGCCCGCCGCCGCCGCCGTCCTCCCGCTTCGCGCGTGTACACTTCGTTAATAACGAAGTGTACGAAACTTGAAGCATGCATGCATGGCCGACCGAAGAGTCGCCTAAGGCTCCTCGGTATCTCCGTCCGGGCTGTCCAGTTAGCCAAGCCTTCTCCTATTTAAGGAGAGGCTGGTCGAGAGATGAAGGACACCAGTACACTCTCGAAATCCTCTCTCTCTGTAGTAAAATTATTTCGGCAAATTCCCGAGTTCCGATCATCTTCTCCGGCAGTAGCTCCGTCACATCTTCTCCGGCAGTAGCTCCGTCATTCTCGTTCGCCGGTGCTTTGTTCTACCGCTCTAGACCTAGCACGAAGCGGTTTTATCCTGGGAGGAGATTGCCCACGTTAGCCAGTGCGGGAGGCGGGCAATACTACCTTAATGAAAGCTTCGGCGACTCCGCTTTCCTCACCCTTCTTTTGCTCTGGCGTCGTTCCTCTCTCCGTCCATTTGTGTTCTTGCGTTCGTTCAAGCATCCGAAGACTCCAAGTTTTTATTTTCTTTATTTTTGTTGTATAATCCGAACGTTTTATAAGTTTGGATTATTTTTTATTTTATTTTCCTGCTGTAATATTCAACAATATTAAGGTAGTATTGATGGAGTTCGGATTCGGCATCGTGGGTTCCTCCGGCATCGGAATAAGTTCCAAAATTCTGGTGGAAACCTCTTTGGTCGCCATGGTTGTGCCGTCCTCACCACTACCCTTCGGGGCAAGTGTGGGGGCCGCGACCATGACGTCATTTTCAATGCCGAGCTCGATCTTCGGGTCGGCCCCTCGACCCATTCCCGGGCTCGAAACCACGGGGGATCACCCCGTCGGTAATTCGAACATATTTCTCGGACCGACTATGGCTTCGGCCTCGACGGTCAACTTTAGACCGAACGCGGGCTTTCCCACACCGGTCAACGTAGGACCGAACGCGGGTTTCCCCACACCGGTCAATCCATTCGTTGGACCCCATTGTGCGACTAACGGGCCTTTCCTCCACACGCCCAATGCAGTTGGGCCGATTACGGTGCCCGCTAGTTCGGTTCAAAGGCCACCGAAGTTCAATGGGACAAACTTCAAAATGTGGAAACAAAAGATGACGTTCTTCATAACCGTCTTGGGATTTGCTGAGTACCTGCAGCAAGATCCCCCCAGCCCAATGAAGCCAACGACCCCCTCGTGGCGATGGTGAACCAAGCATGGTACCACAACAATTATCTCGCCATCAACATTATCCTGGAGGGGTTGGGAGATTCGCTGTACCCCGTCTACGCCGGTGCAACGCTCGCCAATGAGCTTTGGAATAGCTTGAACAAAAAGTATCAAGCTGAAGATGCCGGCACAAAGAAGTTCATCGTCGGGAAGATGCTGGACTACAAGATGGTCGTCATCAAATCTGTTGTCGCCCAGGCTGAGGAGCTTACGATAATCTTCAATAAGTGCAATGAAGAAAAAGTAGGCGTCAGCGAGGCCTTCCAAGTGGCGGCCATCATCCACAAACTTCCCAGGTCGTGGGAAGACTTCCAAGCCGACCTCAAGCTCAAGAGAACGGAGCTGAACTTGGAGCAACTGCTCACGCAGTTGAGGATCCGAGAGGAAGGGCTTGCTAGAAGAAATGGAGGGGCAAAGGCGAATGTTGTAGAACATCTGTCGGGCTCCTCACATGGGGGGAATGACAAGAAGAAAATGGGTCCTAAGGGTGGTGTTTCCAAATTTGCAGGAAAGTGCTACAATTGTGGCATTACTGGGCATCGTTCCTCCGATTGTAGGAAAAAGAAGCCACAAAAGGGAAAGAAGAAAACCACTGAAGCCATGTGTGCGGAGCTTGACAATTTGGACCTCTGCGCGGTTGTCACCGAGGTGAATCTCGTCGGGTCAAACCCGAGGGAATGGTTTGTGGACACAGGGGCCACACGTCATATTTGCTCCAACCGGAGCATGTTTCACGAATTTCAAGAGACCTCCGGTGACAAGGTCTGGATGGGCAACTCGGCCCAGTCAGAGGTACAAGGGGTGGGCAAGATTAAGCTCAAAATGACCTCAGGTAAGGAGTTAACGCTTAACGACGTGCTCTATGTGCCGGATATTCGCAAGAATTTGGTGTCGGGGTCATTGTTGATCAAACACGGCTTCCGAATGGTGTTTGAATCAGACAAGCTAATTTTGTCCAAGAAAGGGATTTTTATTGGGAAAGGTTATATTTCCGATGGGCTTGTAAAGCTTAATGTAATGACTGTTCATGAAAAGATCAATAAAAATCCTGTTGCTTATGTGTTTGAGTCTTCTAGCTTATGGCATGGTAGACTAGGACATGTTAATTTTGCATCTATTCGAAAATTAATTAACATGGAACACATACCTAAGTTTAGTATTGACCTAGCCCACAAGTGCGAAACTTGTGTTGAGGCTAAGTCAACTCGAAGTTCATTTCAAACAATCGAACGAAATACTCAACCTCTAGAGTTGGTTCACACCGACTTGTGTGATTTTCGAACAACTCCTTCAAGAGGAGGTAATAAGTACTTTATTACCTTCGTCGATGATAGCACAAAATATTGCTATATCTAATTACTAAAAAGTAAAGATGAAGCGTTAGACACTTTCGTTCGTTATAAGAACGAAGTGGAAAATCAACTTAATCGCAAAATCAAAGCATTGAGAAGCGATAGAGGTGGTGAGTATGATCCTCCACTTAATGAGTTTTGTGCACAACATGGAATAGTGCATCAAGTAACCCCACCGTATACACCACAGTCTAACGGTGTAGCGGAGCGAAAGAATCGCACTCTGAAAGACATGATGAATGCGATGCTACTTAGTTCTGGGTTACCCCAGAACATGTGGGGGGAGGCTGTTTTATCAAGTAATTATTTACTAAATAAAATACCTCGTAAGAAACTTGACAAAACTCCGTATGAACTTTGGCAAAATAAGAAACCTTCCTATAAGTATCTCAAAGTGTGGGGGTGCCTCGTGAAAGTACTTGCACCACCACCAAAGAAGATGAAGATCGGTCCAAAAACAGTTGATGGAATCTTCATCGGGTACAATAGTACGTCGTACTGGTTCTTGGTGTACAAATCAGATAATCCTGAAATTCACAAGAACACAATCATTGAGTCACGGAATGCAACGTTTTTCGAGCACATTTTCCCGTGCAAGTCAAGTGACGAAGCCAGTTCGTCCAAACGTTCTCATACTGAGATGATGGACAATGATGATCCAAATCAGTTGAATTCCGATGACGATGATGAAGTCGAACATGAGACTGAACTGAGACGAAGTAAAAGAATGCGAACTGAAAAGACGTTCGGTTCTGACTTCATAACATATCTGATAGAATTTGACAAAGGAACTTTGTCATTTCTAATGGAAAATGAACCCGATATTCTAACTTGTTTGGTAGAAAAGGAACCACGAACCTATCACGAGGCCGTAACCTCAACTGAGGGACCTCAGTGACGAGAAGCCATAAAAAGTGAAGTTGATTCTATTCTTCAGAATCACACGTGGGAATTGGTTGATCTCCCTCCGGGGTGTAAACCATTAGGTTCCAAATGGGTCTTTCGGAGGAAAATGAAGCCTGACGGCTCCATTGACAAGTACAAAGCTAGACTTGTGATCAAGGGGTATAGCCAACGCGAGGGCTACGACTACTTTGATACTTACGCGCCTGTGACTATGATAGAAAGATAGTCTTACTAGTAGCGTAAACGTAGGAATGCTTTGGACCTACAAATGGTTTACCTACATTTCTGACGAAAAGATTTACCGCTTGATCTACTTCTTTAGATATACCTTGTTGGGCTCCCCAAATTCCAAGGCCCGGTTCTTTTCTTCCAGACGTTTGAACACTTTAGTAATATGCCAGAATTTGTTCGCCCAAAAGTATGGCATGATAAGTTTGACAAGGTAATGATGAGCAACGGTTTTAAGATAAATGAGTCGGATAAGTGCGTATACTTTAAGGACACATCTGAAGGTTATGTCATTTTATGTCTGTACGTAGACGACATACTTATCGTTGGAAGCAACGATAGGATGGTCAAGTCCACCAAGGACATGTTGAACGCATGATTCGATATGAAAGATTTGGGTCTGGCTGATGTTGTAATACCCCGTATCAAGATGGGAATGGGAAGAGCTCAAAAGGATTGATAGTACTACTCATACCAACAAGGTGCATCTTCTTTTCGAGAGCTCATCACCTAGAAACTCCAAGGTTAAGCGTGCTTGACCTGGAGCAATTCTAGGATGGGTGACCCCCTGGGAAGTTTTCCTTGGGCGCGCACGAGTGAGGACAAAGTGCGCGGGAAAGACTCGTGTTGGTTTGTGGGGCCAGTCTACAATCCTAAGAGCAGACACTTACGGCCAGGGTGGGGGCCGGGGTGCTACAAATGTGATTCTTGGAATCAAAATATTAAGAAGACCGGATGGTCTGAGCTTGAGCCAATCCCACTACATTGACAAGATCCTTGAGAAATTCAACAAGGATGATACAAAGATAGCTAAGACGCCGATAGACGTAAATGTACAACAAGGATGATACAAAGATAGCTAAGATGCCGATAGAGGTAAATGTTCACCTTGGTAAACACCGAGGGAGTAGCGATTCTCAGACAAAATACGCTAGAGTCATCGGAAGTCTGATGTATCTAATGAGTTGTACACGGCCAGATTTAGCTTGCGCCATTAGCAAACTAAGTAGGTATACTAGCAATCCGAGTGCTAATGTGATTCTTGGAATCAAAATATTAAGAAGACCGGATGGTCTGAGCTTGAGCCAATCCCACTACATTGACAAGATCCTAGAGAAATTCAACAAGGATGATACAAAGATAGCTAAGACGCCGATAGACGTAAATGTTCACCTTGGTAAACACCGAGGGAGTAGCGATTCTCAAACAAAATACGCTAGAGTCATCGGAAGTCTGATGTATCTAATGAGTTGTACACGACCAGATTTAGCTTGCGCCATTAGCAAACTAAGTAGGTATACTAGCAATCCGAGTGCTGAGCACTGGAAGGCCATAGTCCGAGTAATGAGATACCTTCGTTATACTCGAGACTATAGCCTATGCTATGGCAGGTATCCACCCGTGTTGGAAGGATACACTGATGCCAATTAGATTGCGGATAATAAGGATTCAAAATCCAGAAGCAGATTTATCTTTATGCTAGCCGGTGCAGCTGTTTCCTGGAAATCCTCAAAACAAACGTTAATTGCCAGATCCACCATGGAGTCTGAGTTCATAGCATTAGACAAGTGTGCAGAACATGCCGAATGGCTTCGGAATTTGCTTGAGGATATTCCAAACTGGGAAAAACCGGTTCCTCCTATTTGCATTTATTGTGACTGTCAGTCAGCAATAGGACGAGCTCAGAACAAATTGTATAATGGTAAGTCTAGGCACATTCGCCGTAGACACAAAACCATTAGGCAACTTCTCAATACGAGTATTATCTCGATTGACTATGTCAAGTCGAAGGATAACTTAGCGGATTCATTAACCAAAGGGTTAACCAATGAGCAACATGAGAAGTTAGTGGTAGGAATGGGTGTGAAAGCCCTACCTTGTGCTGGGAACGTTCCATGAAGGAAAACCCAACCTGGGTGGCACTTGGGTTCAATGGGACAACCTACTTGTGGAACGAAGCACGGTCACTGTGGGGGCAAGCCGGATCACCGACTTAACACCCCTCCATTCCTACTGAGATATAGTGACTTCCGAAAACGATGAGGTTAGCATGGTGCTTTAATGATTCTTGAACTATGGACAACGAGGTCCAAGTGGAGTAATCGGGATACTCTTAGAAGAATCACCTATGTAAGAGTGAAGTGCGGTCGCTTCAACAGAAGGATTTCGGGCTGATCCTGTCTGACACTCTCGCAGAACCAGACGCGTGTTCCACGACCATAATGGGCACACCCATGAGAACGGAATGATGGTTGGTTGAAACTTGTGTATTGTATATCGTCGTTTACACAAACGGCAGTACAGTTCAAAGACATCATGTTCTACTGAACAGCCAGTAGAGAAGGTATACTTTACAAGGAGTAGGTTCAAAGGCATAAAACCTACCTACTCTTGCAGGTTTCAACTTCAGAGTTATTGCCAGTTACATGAATTAATTTTCATTCATGTGGGGGATTGTTGGAAATTTTAAAGTAAATTGGACATTTTTCAGACATAAATTCGGTTGGGTCCACAAAATTATTTTCCAAAATAATTATGGACGATTAATATCATAAGTAAGACGAACGTCTTGACATATGACACGTCATAAACGGTGCTCGGGTGAATGAGAAATTAATTCTCAAAGTTGAATACTAAGGTAGAGTAAATGCCTTTGTCCCACACCGGTTTCTAAACCTTTCGTATTCTCATATTTAAGCTTAGGCATTGAATTGAGCTTATGAAAGGAACAAGAAGAGGACTCCTCGCGCGCCCGCTTCCCGCCCGCGTCTGCGGCGTGACTAGATTTTTACGAGACCGAAACAAACGCGCGTGTACACTTCGTTAATAACGAAGTGTACGAAAATTGAAGCATGCATGCATGGCCGACCGAAGAGTCGCCTAAGGCTCCTCGGTATCTCCGTCCGGGCTGTCCAGTTAGCCAAGCCTTCTCCTATTTAAGGATAGGCTGGTCGAGAGATGAAGGACACCAGTACACTCTCGAAATCCTCTCTCTCTGTAGCAAAATTATTCCGGCAAATTCCCGAGTTCCGATCATCTTCTCCGGCAGTAGCTCCGTCATTCTCGTTTGCCGGTGCTTTGTTCTACCGCTCTAGACCTAGCACGAAGCGGTTTTATCCTGGGAGGAGATTGCCCACGTTAGCCAGTGCGGGAGGCGGGCAATACTACCTTAAGGAAAGCTTCGGCGAATCCGCTTTCCTCACCCTTCTTTTGCTCCGGCGTCGTTCCTCTCTCCGTCCGTTCGTGTTCTTGCGTTCGTTCAAGCATCCGAAGACTCCAAGTTTTTATTTTTTTTTATTTTTGTTGTAAAATCCGAACGTTTTATAAGTTCGGATTATTTTTTATTTTATTTTTCCGCTGTAATATTCAACACAAAAAACAATCTCATCATTATTTCTAAAACAAGAAATTTTGAAGTGTGTTTTTTAAGGAATGATTTTGATTTTGATTTGTTTTACTCGGTATAGGGTGCAGCTCGTGGTGCAATTAAAAAAATATTTCCCGCTCGCAAGTGAATTTCGTTCCTAAAATCCCAACCCCCCCCCCCTCGCAAGTAAAATTTCGTCCTAAAATTTCCCGCTCACTCGCAACCGGATGTCAAAACTGAAAAGCCTAATTTAATTGGAGTCGCGGATCGCCAGCGTGTCATTTCATGTCCGTTGATTGAACCCGCAAACCCGCGACTAAGATCCAATCTCCGCCGTCCAATCAATCCCCCCCGACGAGGATCTCCAGCGTGGCAATCCTCTCCCCCCTACCTATAAATACCATAGCAGCTTTCTTCCCCGATGCATTCTAAAGCCTGTACTCCGATCATCCTTTCTCAGAGAGAAATCTTCAACCCTAAAACACCTTCTGCAAAAGTTCGATCAATGGAGTCTTCCACGAAGACGTCGTCCAAGGGTGCCGGAGGAAGGAAAGGCGCCGGCGAGAGGAAAAAGTCCGTCATGAAGTCCATCAAAGCCGGCCTTCAGTTTCCCGTCGGTCGAATTGCTCGTTTCCTGAAGAAGGGCCGCTACGCACAGCGATGTGGAACCGGCGCTCCTGTTTACCTCGCCGCCGTCCTGGAATACCTTGCCGCCGAGGTACGTAAAATCGAAGTTTCTTCTCCCGGAATCTCCATAGTCTCCGAGATCTGGATTGGTAAGCGCTTTCCGTTTGGTTAAAAAACATACTCTTATCGGTTTTTGTGAAATTAGGTTTTGGAATTGGCGGGAAATGCGGCTCGCGACAACAAGAAGACTCGGATCATCCCCAGGCACGTGCTGTTGGCGATCAGGAACGACGAAGAATTGGGGAAGCTGCTGCAGGGAGTCACAATCGCCAGCGGTGGAGTCCTCCCCAACATCAACCCGGTCCTTCTTCCCAAGAAGACATCTGCGGCGTCGGAGGAAAAAGCTTCACAAAAATCAGCCAAGTCTCCGAAGAAGGCCTAGAATTCAAGATCTCTATTTAATTTGTTTTGATGTAAATCTGCCGTTTGATGTGGTTTATGGTCACTGATCTTTCATAGCTTTTCGCTTTTTCTTATTAGCATCTGGCAATATAGTTCGAGCAGTTCACCTTGTTCGCTTCAGGTGTATTTGTTTTAATGAAGATGAATATCCAAGTTTTTGCCTAAGAGTATTTTAATTCAGTATTTCTATTCTCTGTTACTCTGTGTATAAAATTTACTTACAATACGAAGTAATCGATTAGTAATTATAGGAAAATGACTATTTGTGCGATCGGACCGTGATTAAAGGTTGTTTGATAAGTAAACTGGTTGTTTCATATTAAAGGATTTACTTATCTGTCTTAGAGTATTTCTCCACTTTCATTTTTACATATCATTTAATGTACTTTTTTAATCAATTTTATCTTGTAATTTGTATATTAAAAAATTATAAAAATTATATATTAATAATCTATATGTTAAGACAAATCAAACAAGTTCACACATGACTATATTTACACATTGAGAGAATTTGATGAGTCAAAGTGTTTAGATGAACAGTTTCAAAAGTCAAAAGTGGATAAATATAGTGGGACGGAAAGAGTAATTAGTAATGAATGGAGGTAGAGGGGAAGGGGAGTGCTATTGATATATCCAAATACATTTGAAATGCAAGAGTTTATCTTTCAATTTGAAAATGAAATTGTCAGTTCAACTTCAGTTCGTGGGTTGCAACCTCGCAATACGTCAATTGAAGGTTTTTTCAATAGGATATGCTAGGGGTACACCAAATGTGTACTCCAAATGTACACCACTTCTCTCTCTACCATTCATTTTATTTTGTTTTTGTTTTTATTTTTTATTTTTTTTAAAATTTTTTTTTGCCTTTTTTTGTGGTGATGGAAGAGGTGGGAGATGTTTGGGATACACTTTTGTTGTACTCCTAGCATTTTCCTTTTTCAATTGCATCGAGTACTTATATGATTATTTGTGTAAAATAAATAAATAAATAAGTTTTTTTTACTTTTAATTAAGAAACTACATTAAAAATTTGATAGAAATTACATTATTAGTCTCTTTGTTTGAAAATGTTTTTCCCATTTTGTTTTGTGTCAGTTTAAAAATATTATTCCCATTTTTTAATATGGGAATAATACCCCCTATTTTATCACTAATTTAAGGACAAATTTGAATAATAACCCCTATTTTATCACAAATTTAAGGACAAATTTGAATAATAACCCCTATTTTATCACTAATTTAATTTTTTATTATTTTTTTAATATGAAAAGGAGATTTAAAAGTTTATAGTATGTGCATTTTTAGAAATTTGATACTTTTTTAAACTCTTAAATAAGCGCGAAAAGTTAACACGGTAAAAACAATCCCGGATGATGGGAGTAGTTTATTAGATGGTTAATAAAAATACATAATTTTGTTTTGAAAATAAAAATTTCATACCATGTGTGTTCCAAATTATATTCTTTTTTCATTATTTACATAATCAAACTTTATTTACCTTTATCAATTATCTTGTACTAATTTGTTTAAAAAAATAAAATTAATAGCATAGATAACATAGTTATGTCACCTTTTGTTTTAGAGAAATTTTGATGTAGTTTTAAATATGTAATTTTTATTTTTTAAAATTTTAATTTAGTTTTAAATATGTAATTTTTATTTTTTACATCCAATATTCAAATAACTTAAATTAAAAATAATTTTAATCAAATAACGTAAAACAAAACAAGCAATATAAATTCAGAGAGAGTAAAAATTTTAAAATAACAGAGTAAATATGAATTTTTTATTTTTATTATGAAAATTATTCACTTTCTATGAAAGTATTTTTCATTAAAATTTAGGATTTTAAAATTTTAAAAATTACTTTTCATATCATCTGCACCTGCTAATTGTTGTGCTAACGTAATTTATATATTCGAAGGAAAAAAATTTCCTTTAGCTTGAGTGATATTTGTCCATTGCCAAGAGTTCATGAAAAAGTTTGTCGAGCTTAGGGCATTGGTAGAGTAGATGCGGGCTGTTTGTTTCAGCCTCTTAATGGTTCAGATGTCTGAATGGTTCAGCACTTAATGGTTCAGACTATTTGTTTCAGCCTTTTAATGGTTCAGATGTCTGAATGGTTAAGAGATTTGCCTCTGAATGGTTAAGTATTATACAGAGTCCGAATGGTTAAGACCTCTTATCTGAATTGATCAAACAATATAGTTAAGCAATATACTAGCTCTTAATGGTTCAGACCTCTTACTGATTCAGCACTCAATGGTTCAGACCTCTTACTAGTTCAGCACTTACCCATTCAGAAGTTGCCAAACAGCCCCTAATTCTTTGTGCGTTGTTACATTGAGAATTTTTTGAGGAGTAAATTATATAAAAGGTCCCCAGTTATAGGTCGTTTTACATATTTAGTCCCTACGTATCAAATATTACTAATTTAGTCCCCAATTATTATATTTATTTCCACGAATGGTCCTTTGTTAACATTTCCGTTAAGAACGTGGATAAAATTGTATATTCATACTTCTCTCTCTCCTCAATTAAGCTTTCTTCATCTTCTCATACTCTTTCCCAAACTCGTCGCTGAGTTTGAAGCTCTTAAACCCAAAATTTAAATGATCGTTCCTCCA